GTGCTGTACCGAACTGACGCCATCACTCCTGCCAGGAGAACTACGATGACCCCCACAAGACGCCCGCCTCCCCGGTGGTGCACATCCGAGGCCTGATCGATGGCGTCGTGGAGGCCGATCTTGTGGAGGCCCTGCAGGAGTTCGGCCCCATCAGGTGAGGAGACAGGCATTGGGGGATGTGCGTGGCGGCGCTGGCACCGCGGTGGTCGTCTGACCACCACCTTTGCTGTCTCAGCTACGTGGTGGTGATGCCCAAGAAGAGACAAGCCTTGGTGGAGTTTGAGGACATCCTTGGCGCCTGCAACGCTGTTAATTACGCAGCTGACAACCAGATCTACATCGCTGGGCACCCTGCCTTCGTCAACTACTCCACCAGCCAGAAGATATCCCGCCCCGGGGACACGGATGATTCCAGGGGTGTCAACAACGTCCTGCTCTTCACCATCCTCAACCCCATTTACTCCATCACGACGGTGGGTGATGGCACCGGGGAAACCCCGAGGGTTTTGGGAACGTGGAGCTAGGCACGCAGATCTCTCCTGGCCCTGGCACGCGCTGTTCGTGGGGTTCAGGGGGGTTACCGCTGTGCCTCAGCCAGGTCCCTCACGTCTTCTGCTCTCTCCTGTGCCACAGGATGTGCTGTACACCATCTGTAACCCCTGTGGCCCTGTGCAGAGGATTGTTATCTTCAGGAAAAACGGTGTCCAGGCCATGGTGGAATATCCTTCTGTGCCCTGACAGCTCGGGGCTGCCTCTCATGGTTTTTCTGCTGTGGGTTGGTTTGACTCTGCCTCAGACCGGTCGTGTCAGCCGTGCTCTGGCACGTCCTGGCCAGCTATGGGCAGGGAGCTGAGAGTTTCCCAAATTATCTGTACTTGGGGAGCAACGCCTGACACGTGGCACGGTCCGATCCATCCTCGCAGACAGCGAAACCCGCCCTAAAGATGTTTTCGTTTCCGTTAACGTCCTTAACACTGCCAACGTTTGACTCGGTGCAGAGCGCCCAGCGAGCCAAGGCGTCCCTCAACGGGGCCGACATTTACTCTGGGTGCTGCACGCTGAAGATCGAATACGCCAAGGTAAGCGTGCCCCGCTGGCAACGCACACCCCTTGTGGGGTGACGCCACTGACGCCTGACGCTTTTCTGGGTGTCTGTTGCAGCCCACGCGCCTCAACGTCTTCAAGAATGACCAGGATACCTGGGATTACACCAACCCCAACCTCAGCGGACAAGGTAATCTCCGATGAAGCGCTTTGTACCTACGCACACGGTCGGGCACAGCACTCTCATACCGACCCGCACTATGTAATGCCATTCGCCTGCCCGTACCTTCACCCGGAGCTGGCGTGGGCTCGACGGGGAGAGGGTTCAGGGGATGAATTGAGTCGAAAAAAGGGGTGGCGATGGCTGGGGGGTTTCTCTCGGTGGTTTGTTTTGCGCGTTGCTTGTCGGGGAAGTATCGGTGTCAGGCGTGTGAAGTGAGAGGGAGCCTCTGCACCAGCGATACGTGGTTGATTTTTCTTTTTTGTTCTATTTAATGAGTTTTTGGTGGTTCAGGGTTGGGGGGGAAAGTGCCATTGCTTTCTTACGTCTGCCCTGCTGCTCGCTCTTTGCGTACCTCATCTTCCAAACTGAATTTACCAAAACGGGGCTGTGTCACCCTCCCGGAGCTGAGGGGCGAGTGGGAAACGCTCTTGGCCTGGCCGGGGGGGTACTCAGCCTGTCTGTAAAACCGGAGGGGAGATGCTGGCTTGCTTGAGCTTGAGGTGGTGGGGGGAAAGACACACCCACCCCCAAAACCCTGTGCTCACGGAAGCGGACATCTCCTGCTCCCAACTGGATGCCGGGGCGGCCGTTGGTGCCCTCCGTGTCGGCCTGCGCAGGGTCAGCCCCACGCGAGGAGCTCAGTGACGCTTATTTTGAGGTGTTTTGGGTTTTTTTGAAGGAAAACACTAAATGTTTTAAAGCCGGGGTGTCGGCGCCAGGCGGCCTCGACCGCTGGAAACGGGGATGGGAGGGTTGGAGGGTGATGGGTGCGGGGCGGGAGGGTGGAGCGGGATTCTCTATGGGAGCCGCTGAGCCACCGTCTGCCGGACACCCCTGCTTTTCAAAGCTGTGGAGCCGTTCAGGTGCTGACGCAAGCAATGGCATTACATGATTTAGCGAGGGGCAGGGGCAGAGCTCTCCTCCCAGGTACATACGTAGAAGATGTGCAGAGCCGCAGGGGCGCGAGGGGCTCGCTGGGAAGCGGACGGGAGGGGAAGGGGTGCGGTAATGTGGCCTTTCCCAGCTCCGAGCAGTCATTTGCACATAACCCCGGGGACCGTACTACAGCGGAAGTCCCGAATGGGCCGTGACCTGCCTCTGCACATTCCTCACACCACACAGTGTAGAAAACTTTACTGGAGAAAACAGGCAGCATCCAGAAACAAGCAGCACCTTGAGCTCATTACATCAAGGACACAACACCGTGGCCCAAGGACTATCTACAGCACAGAGAGAGAAAGAGGCGCAGCATGCCACAGCAGACATTTACCTTTACTTACCAAAACCAGACCAAACCGAACCCACGAAGGTACACAGAACTAGAAAACACAGCCCAGAGGGTCCTCAAAACAAGGCCAGCAGCGCTCTTACCGGAGACCGGAATAGATCTGAGGCCCTCCAAGACCTTAGGATTGCTCTCAACACGGTTTGGTTTGGGGAGGGCAGTTCCTTTGCTTTATGCTGTTTTTCCTGCAGCCCTCAACTGCCACCATATCAGCGCCAAGCGGAGAAAAAAAAAAACAAACCAAAACAAACAAAACCAAAAACCAAACCTAAAAACAACCCAAAACACCAAACCAAGGAACACAAAGCAACCCAACCCCAAGGGCACACAGGTCCCTAGGAGGCCGTAGCTGGGGCTGTGCGGGTCTGGCGCAGGCCGGCGTTCGAGCCGAGACACATTTCCATTACAGAGGAGACACGCACACGGGAAAGAGCTACACAGAGCCAGAAGCACCATTTTGTTACAGCACAACACAAATTGCAGGAGGCGAAACACGGAGGAACACTCTCATTTATCACCCCTTTATGTCCTCTCTCTCTGGGTATCTTCTGAGGACAAAACATCTGTGAGACCTTGGTTTTTTTTTTTTAAAAAAAAAAAAGATTTTTTTTTTTTAAAGAAAAATTGTAGCGGTTTTGTGCCTTTGACCTGTGTTTATGACTCTGAAACCATGTGATGCAGGGTCGCAGTGTATGTTTGATGGGACGCCATCTTTCAGAACTGTGCTAACTCACTCTTGAAGCGTCCAATGGTAAGAGAAATACAGAATTTTTATATGACAATGGACATTGTACTTTGTACTCCCGCTGTAAGTAGCCCTTTTCAATCTTTGTAATCGACTCGGAATAAACCTGTACGAAACCCGGTCGTGTAAAGGGAAGAGAAGAGCAACTGTACGGTGACATGAGCGTTTTTATGCCTTGTACGTGATGGCTCGTTTTAACCTGTTACTGCTGTTGCTTTGCTGCCTGTACCAGTCTCGCTCCCTTTCCCGTTTTGTCGGGGCAGGGAGATGTCTTGCCACTTTTTATTATTTAATTTAGAGTTTTATTTTTCCTTTCTGTACATTAATTATTTTTATTTTTAATTTTATTT